CCCTTGAGTGTCTGTACAGCAGACAACTTCTCGTTCTTTCCTTTTCTTTTTCTCTCTTGCATGTATTTATTTACTTAATGTGGGTGTGTATGGAAGTCAGAGGGTATCTCAGAGTTTACATCTTGTGGATGTTAGGCTTTTTGCAAGTGCCTTTACCTGCTAAACCATCTCGTCGACCCTGTTTGCCTGTTCTCTGTTATGGTTAACTATTTTTGTCTTTTATATGGGCTAGATGCATAGTAGAGATAGATATTGCTTGGTCTACCTTTTGTTTTAGGTTAGTCTTTGTCTTTGGTTTTTAAATTCTTCTGCATGTTCTCCTTACTGAAGTCAAACCAACTCTGCCGTGTTTCCCCTGAATCAGATCTCCTATTATTAATGTCATGGTTGGAATGTGGGCTGGTTTCTCTTCACTCCCAGGAATACAGAGTGACTCGCTTTTATTCTTTCAAAAGTCTTTGCCTATACCATCTACATCATGGGGTTTGCTGCTGTCTTCTCTTAGTGGAAGAAAAATAGCTGGGTAGTGGGTGGACATTGTGTCTGACTCAACCCTTGCTAAATACCTCCTGTATGCTTGGGCAACCAGGTTAAACTCTTTAGTTGCCTGCAGTGTACCCAGTTTTTATTGTGAGCACAGCAGAGGCCCATGGAAAAGACTTGCAAGCCAATGGGATGTGTTATGTGGGTGTGATATGTCTGCATTCAGCAGATACCTCCAGAGAGGATCTAGACTCTTGTTTGGTGGATGAGGAGTTGGACAGAAATGAGGATATTAGCAGAGGCAGAGACAGTTTATTTAGAGATGGCACATTTCAGAAGAAAGGGAAGAGGCTGGTGCAGAGTTGAATACCTCACTGGGTACACCTCTGCTACACAAAGGGTGACTTTTATGACACACTGTCTGGCTTTCTGGAGACTTAATGCATCACATGTCTGATTGATATCTTAAACTCCACCTTTAAACACTCAACAGTGTTTCCAGTTTCTGTGGCCAACTGGTTTCTTTTCTGTACTCATTTTCAGCCTTTGCTTGGTCTCTCAGACCTCAGTGCTCTTCTGCCTCAAGTGATGGAAGTTTTCATAGAGCTTCCTCACAGTTCCTACACTCCTAAATTCTTATTTCTGTATTCCTAAGGCCCTTCCTACTGTTTGGTTTTTCTTCTGTCTGTATGTAAAATTTTCATGCTTCTTTATATGTCTGCTAGACTTTTGTTGGACATTAGGTGCTGAATTTAATGCTATTAGACACCAGGTTTTGTTAGATTATCACCCCATCGTAGCCCTGAGGCAGGGTTTCACTGTGTTGTGTAGTCCTGGCTGTCCTGGAGCTCACTCCATAGACCAGGCTGACCTCGAACTCAGAGATCCACTTGCATCTACCTCCCAAATACGGGGATTAAAGGCATACACTAACACTACCAGGCTAGATTATTTTTAAAACTAGAAATTTTTAGTTTACTGGCTGTAGGAAATGATAATGGTGGTAGTAGTATGTGTATTAGACAGGGTCTCATTACATAGCTCTGGCTGTTCTGGAACTCACTATGTAAGCCAGGCTACCCTCAAACTCACAAAGACCTGCTTGCCTCTGCCTCCAAAATCCTGAGATTAAAAGCATGAACCAACATACCTGGCATTGTATAGCTTTTTTAAAAACATAATTAATTATAAATTAAGTGTTGGGGATCAACCCAAGGTCCTTGAAAATGCTGAACAAGTACTGTATGAATGAGATATATCTCTGGCTAGAATAGTTCTTAGTCTAGAACTAATTTAGTCTTCTTCTTAGAGCAGACCTTTTGAGCTGTCTTCTAAACTCTAAGAAATTCAGGGAATTTTGTTTTTTTCTGTCTGGAGGAAAGTTGAATTGTTCTAAACCTAGTGTGAACTCTTGAGAGTTGTTCATTTACAGCTCCCCTAGGTGAGAGTTCTTTCCTTGGATTGCTGTTCAGTCAGAATTCAAGGTGACCTGGTGGGAATTTCTGGAGTCTGCCTGCTTTTAGCACCCTCTTGTGTGCTTGGTCCCACAAATCCAGCTGCTTCGGCCCTGTGCGCTCGATACACTCAGTTCATGTGCCTCCTTGAACCTTGCTTTAGAAGTTATCCAGGCGGAGAGCCAAGGAACTGTAGTACTCACCTTACGTTTTCCTTTTCTTAGGGGTCACAGGGCCTAGCTACCTACTGTCCCAAGACTGGAAAAAAGTTGTTTCCTGCTTTGTGTCAAGTTTTCTATTATTTATAGTAAGAGGTTGATTATAGACCACTTGAGGACATCCAGCTTGGATGGCCTATACTTGTATTTAGGGAAAACAATTACAAATTAATTTAAGCCGGCCAGTGTGGGACATGCCTTTAGTCCCAGCACTCAGGAGGCAGAGGCAGGAAAGACCAGCCTGGTCTACAGAGTGAGTTCCAGGACAGGCTCCAAAGCTACAAAGAAATCCTGTCTTGAAAAAAAACAAAAAGAAAAAAAAATTTAAATATTCTTGATTTTAAGGAAATAGCAAAAGTTAAAAAAAAAAGAAAATGAGAAAAAATTGCCAGTAAAACTCCATATTATAGAAAAAATTACAAGCTCCCCCCCGAGACAGGGTTTCTCTGTATTGTTTTGGAGGCTGTAGACCAGGCTGGCCTCAAATTCACAGAGATCCACCTGCCTTTGCCTCCTGAGTTCTGGGATTAAAGGCGTGCGCCACCAACGCTCGGCTCAAGCTCTTAGTAGTAAATATTGGCAAATAGTTTTTAGATCTTTTTCCCACTTTATAGAGACAGGGTCTCACATAGATTCCTGGCTGGCCTTGAACTTACTGTGTAGACCATACTGGCCTTAGCTGAATTTGCAATGATACCCCTGCCTCTATTATTGAGTGCATGCATTACCCATACTCTACTTATGTTTTGAATCCGTAGGTAGAAAAATTGTTTAGACAGAAAAGTGTTCTCTATGAAGAAGAGTAATAAACTGTACACTTAAAATCCAGAGCTTTTTGCTGATCTTGGTGGAATTGTTAGCAATGAAGAAAGGGTTGTAATTTGAGCCAGGTATGGTGCCCCAGCCCTAGAGAGGTAGAAACAGTAGGATCAGGAGTTGAGGGCCAGCTTCAGCTACATAGTGAGTTCCAGGCCAACCTGGGCTATATGAGACCATTACAAAACAAATAAAGCAACACCAAATAAATAAATGAATCAAATTAAGAGCTTTTATTATTCAAAAGACCCTTAAATAAAGTAAAAGTAACAGTGAACATGGGAGAAAATACACTATGCACAAGTGAAAATATTGTCAAGAAAAAGAACAACAGCAAAAAACTGGGCATGGTGTCACACACCTGTAATCACAATGCATTTGGGAGGCAGAGGCTAGAGAATCTCAAATTTGAGGCAGCCTGTGCTGTACATTGAGACCTTGTCTTAAAAACAACCAAACAAAGATCCCAGTGGAAAAACCATACAGAGTTTGGAGTATTGGCTTGTTCCTTTGGCCTTAGCAGGAGAGTCACTTAAGTTCAGGAATTTGGGGGCCAAACAAACATCTTTAAAAACAAAACAAAGATTACAGGAGTTCTACAAATTCATGAGAAATGCATACAAATTTAAGGTTACAGTAGGTGAATCACAAGAATTGGTATTTTATGAAAAAGGGTACTTGGACAGTAAATATAGAAAGAAATGTTTGTCATAGAGAAGTTTTGAGTGTTGAAAGACACTTAGGATGTTTTAAAGAGAGTAAAGACTATAGGACAACAAGATTCTCTGTGTAGCCCTGGCTGTCTTGGAACTCACTCTGTAGACTTCTCTGCCTCTGGCTCCTGAGTGCTCAGATTAAAGGTATGCCCGGCCACCTGTGGACTTTTAAAAGTTGGAATGTTTTAGATCGTGATGCTGATATTATTGAGATCTTGGGAATGATCAAGAGGCCTCAGTAAGTGATATATTTGTATGTCATGTTGACAAAGGGTCAACTGTCCTGGCTAGTAACTTGGGAAATATAAATTAAGATCATAAGTTTTTTCATATTCGTTCTCGGCAGAAATATATTTCCTTTTGCATATCCCAGACTGGCCTTGAATTTGCTATATAGCTGGAGGTGCCCCTGAACTCTGTCTTTATTGAGTGCTGGGATTACACTATGCCCCACAATGCCTGGTTCCTCTGGTGCTAGGTTCCTCATGCTAGGAACTCAGGGTTCCTTCATGTTAGGCAAGCACGCTACCAATTATACTTCTTTCCCAGCCCCTAAAAGGATTTTTTTCTTAGATGCTAAGGAAAGGAGTGTAAGTTGGTAAGCATCCTACAACTTAGCTGGAAACTATCCTGAGGTTAAATACACCTATCTTTGAAGCCTTGATTCAGTTCCCATATCTATGTGTACAAAGGAGACAAGTATACAAACATTTGTAGCAGAATTGTTCACATTGCTAGCTAAACTCAGAAACAACCCAAATGCCACCAGTGAGAGAAGAAACACAATGGAAACAGCCATAGGATTGATGAGATGGCTCAGAAGGAAAAGGCCACTTAGCCTGAAACCCTGACTTTGCCTGGGACTCACATGGTGGAGACAACTGACTCCCACAAGCTGTCCTCTGACCACCTTTCACATTGACTGCAGGGCTAGCTAGTCTGAGCTATACACATGTTAGTTGTGCTTTTTCGTGTAATAAATCCGAGGTTTTCATTTCCCTCATTAGCTTGTTTGTTCACTCCTTGTATTTATTTGCAGTGGTTTTTGAGAGACTTCTGGCTTTCTGAAAATAAATTCACTCCTAAAAACTGACCTTTGCCTTTGAAGTTACTTAGGTGTTGGAGAAACTGGTAAAAATAAGATTATACCTCTCTTGAAAAGAGTAGCCCTCTTGTGTGTAGAACTTTTGTCGTGTTTATTAAATTTTCTTTCAAAATGGCTGTGACTGTTCTTTGTGCTGTGCACAGAAAGACACGATGGCAGTACGCACCTGACTTTAGATGACCATGGCTTCTTCGTTCTGTCTCACCAGGTGTACAATGTTTACATGGCAGGGCGGCAGCTGTGTTCTAAGCGGTACCGGGAATTTGCCATCCTGCACCAAAACCTGAAAAGAGAGTTTGCCAACTTTACATTTCCTCGACTTCCAGGAAAGTGGCCATTCTCATTATCAGAACAACAGCTAGATGCCCGTCGTCGGGGCCTGGAAGAATATCTAGAAAAGGGTAAGCCAGTCTTGATTTCTTAGTAGGTGAAGGCACCTGCCACCAAATCTAATGACCTGAGTTCAGCCCCCAAGGTCCACATGTATAAGGAAAGAACCAACTCACACAGGTTGTTCTCTGACTACCACTCATTTGCAGTGGTAGGTGTGTGCCCCACCCAGATGGACAAATAAATGAATGTAAGTTTTAAAAATGTTTAAGGGGGAAGGGAGTGGCTCTCTGTGAGTTCAAGGCCAGCCTGCCTGGTCTACAGAGGGAGTTCCAGGACAGCCAGGGCTACATAGTGAAACCGTGTCTCGAAAAACCAAGAAAAAGAAAGTTTAAAAGATAGGCTAGTCCATTAAACTGTGCTTGCTGAGTGGGCATAGCCTCTGATTCCTTAATTGCATAGCTGTGTTTCCTAAAACTCAATAGTGTAAGGAAGTCATGTTTTGGATAAGAAGTGTTATCCTGGGCCCTGAAGGCAAGGCTGAAATGTTCACCACAGTGATAGTACCTGCTTTGCTCACTAGCAGAGAACTCATAACAGAAAAGTGAATAGTTCTTGGTGGTCCTTGGGGGACTTTTATCTATAGGGTTATATTTACCTATAAATACATATTATGGTACATGGCTCATGGCAGTGTCCTGTATAAAAATTCCTGTATAGGTTTGCTCAGCTGTTGGCCATCTAAAGTGTCCTTGTTCTCAGCAGCCTATACGTAGAATTGGTGAAACTTCCAGATGATAACTTGGGGTTCTATGGATGTAGATACTGAAATATTTGCTTCTCTAGAAAGAAAGAAATGACACAGATCTGAATAAGATAATCCCTTGGTTGTGGGAAGAGATTCACCTGACTGTTATATTATAGTTATGTGGCTTGCTAGCTGTGTGTCTTAGTCATTTTTCTATTGCTATGAGGAGACACCATGACCAAGGCAGCTTATAGAAGAAAGCATTGAATTGTGGGCTTGCTTATAGTTTCAGAGGGTCAGTCATGGCCATCATCATGGCGGGGCATAGTGGAGGCAAACAGGCAGTCAGGCATGGCACTGGAGCCGGAGCCAAAGTTGAGAGCTTGTGTCTCACCCACAAGAAAGGCCCAGTGTGACACTTCTTCCAACATGGCTATACTTCCTGGTCCCCACCTAATAGTTCCAACGACTGGGAATGAAGCTTTCAAACAAAGGGGTCTGTGGGGGCCATTCTCATTCAAATCACCACACCGTGCAATGGGGTTTTTAGAATATTAGTTTAAAAGAATAATAGTGTAAAGACTAATTGACCTAATTGGATTTAAAAGTAAAACAAAACACTCCAAGAAAACTAACATTGGCAGTGAACCTTATTGAAACTTGTGGAATTTCCCCATCTGTTTTTCCTAAAGTAAACTGGTCTCTCGAACATGCTATGGGGACATTAGATAGGGTACTATCTAATGCAATAAAAACTGTCAATGTTTTTTTTAATCATCCTTGGGAGGGCTACCTTTCTTAGATTACACAACTAGTGACTTAGTTACGTGCTTCCCTCCTTCCCTTTCTTCTCCCTTTCTTTCCCTGTGTTTTGCTCTGTGTGCCTCTCTGTCTTTCTGTCTGTCTCTCTTAGATCACTTGGTAGGTGAACTTAGATGCTCTGATGAGCTCAAATCCTTGGTTACCTGCCACTGTTCCAAAGTGATGTTAGATGTTGTTCTGACTTGCTGTTCCTAGGACAAATACATGTTTTCCTTTTGTGTTTCAATATGATATTTGGTTTATTCTTAACTGACCTTTCTCTTCCCTCTATTGCCTATTTTTTCCTGTGTAGTGCCATGATAATTGTTCCCACAGGGCTGAAAATTTAAATCTACTATACTTTTTGGTATTTAACATTTTTAGCAAGCTACATCCTTATATTTCCTTTTATTATGCTGTTCTATATCATTTAGGTGAATTGTTTGTTATGCCTTAAGATTGCATATGCTAAGGATACATATACTAGGTTATAGTTGCCTGTTACCAATGATTTAAGCATTTTCTATATACTTTTTGATACAAGGTCTTACCATATAACTCAGGTTGGTCTAGAAATGACTCTGTGATTCAGGTTGACCTTGAATTTGCAGCACACCTTTTGCTTCAGCCTCCCAAGTACTAGAATTGCAGATATGAATGACCATGCTAGGCCTGATAATTTAAATGTATATTATTGATTTAGGGCCTGATATCTTTTGTTTTCTACAGTGTGTTCAATCCGAGTCATTGGTGAGAGCGACATCATGCAGGAGTTCCTGTCAGAATCTGATGAGGTAGGTAAACACCCCCTGCAATGGTAATTTCCTGCTTAGCTCCTCATGGGCAAAAATGTAGGTAATGTTTGTGGGTTAAGTTGCAGTCTACTCTCCAATGACTGTATTACTTCCATTTCCTTTTCCTATATATTTACCCTTTAAGACATAGAGCCAGGTTCACCTCTGTCTTTTTGTTTTGTTTCTTTTTTAGTTATGCTATAAAATAATAAATGTCATCGTATTTTCAACTGCACATATGTCCATGTGCAGATGCACATGCACACATCATTGCATTTGTCCATAGCCACCCCTCATTATGCTCCCTTGCTCTTCCCTCTGGTCTCCTTGTCTCCAAGTAGTCCCCTCCTGCTTTTGTTATTCATTGTTATTTATGCATTTGAGTCTGGAGTCTGCATGTGAGAGAAAAATGTGATGCAGTCTTTCTTTACCACCGCATCATTCTCTTTTGTTTCCTGTTAGACTCCTTCTGTATGGTCCTCTCACTTCCATGTCCTGTACACATATGAAAACATGTGAGGAAGCATGCAATGCTTGTCTTCCTTCTGACATGAGTCCTGTTATTTCCATTTTTAGCTCCACCCATTTTCCTTGTGAGTCTTGTTTTCCTACCAGCTGGAGCTAGAAGATACTTGCTCCTTCTCACTATACTAACCCTCTGCATGTCTACCTGTCTGTCCCTCTTTGTTTGCTATTTTTGAAGCTATTTTAAAAGTAATTTTTTATCTGATGACAAATGGCAGCCACAGTGGTTATTTTGGACCTACATGTTGGTAAACTGTATTCTTGTAATACAAGTTTCTCTGTATATTCCTGAGGTAATGTTTTGATTATTTCTTCATTGTCTGGTGGACCCTGATACATCAACAAATATGATGGTTTACCTCCTTTAGAATGCTGTAAAATTATGTAGAAGTGACGTAGTGGCCTGCTGATCTCAGAACTTCCAAGGCACTGGGTTTAGGGTCTCTTTTATGTTGGGGAACCTTCTTAATGGTATATGTGGCAGGACTAATTAAAAACTGACTGCCGCCGGGCGGTGGTGGCACACGCCTTTAATCCCAGCACTTGGGAGGCAGAGGCAGGCGGATCTCTGTGAGTTCGAGGCCGGGCTGGACCGACAGCCTCCAAAACAATACAGAGAAACCCTGTCTCGTAAAAATCAAAAAAACAAAACAAAACTGACTGCCATAATTCTGCTGCTGTGAGAAAATGGTAAAATTCTCTTCTCCCTTCCCCTTTCCTCTCCTTTACCTTCTTTTCTCTTCTCCCCTCCTTTTCTCTCCCCTCCATCACTCCTCCCTGCTTCTCTGTCTCTGTATAAAAACATGGCTAATTTTTCATGTTAAAGAAAAAACAAAATTTCATTCTTTCTAGTAACCATTTTTCTCCATTCACAGCTAAGCTTTTTAGAAAGCTGTTCTATTTTACTGCCATTTCCCCAATTAAAATTTTGAACCTTTGTCACAGTTTTCAGGATTCAGTTTGAACTTCTACATGGCACTCATGAGGCCCATCATGTTCTGGCCTCTGTCTCTAATCTCAGTCCCTACCATTGTCTGATGTAGTGTTATTCCAGTTATTTTGGTGCTCTCGTTTCTCCTTTATGGTGCTGACTCAAACCTCAGAACTCATGCAAATGCTCTGCCACTGTGACACATCTCCAAAGCTACGAAATATGTTTTTAACATCGATTTATTTGTTGTGTACGCATGCCTGTACACCATGTAGCACACATGTCACAACATGGTAGACAGCTTGGGGAACAATTGGTTCTTTCTTTCCATCATGTGGGTTATGGGAATCAAACTCGTCAAGGTCATCAGGTTTAGTGGCAAATGCCTTTATCAGCTGAACAAACCTACCAAACCTCTCGTTGGCTCTGGAATGCTTTTTATTTCTTTAATCCTTTTGTCATTCCCTAGAGTTCATGTCCTCTTCCAGGGAATCTCCCCCCTCACTTTGCCTCCATGCCCAGTTTTTTGTATCGCTAATCTTTTAGAACACGTCAAAGGTCACTCCTCTAGGAGTACCCTTCTGGTTCTCTGTACTTTTAGCTGTCTTTATCAATGCCCCTTGTATTATCCCATGCTCTGCTCTCTGTCTTTGGAATGGAATCTGTTCTTTGTTACTTTGACTTTCCTTGTTCACTATGCTATGCAGAGGCAGCTTTTAGTCTGCCATTTTCCAGGTCCATCTTCTCTTTGAAGTCTTTCTTCTTGGATGACACAAATCATCAGTTTTCATCCCAGCAAGAGCTTCTGCAGTTAGTTATCACTCAATCATCATGTTACTGCCATCTCATTTTCTGATTTTTATACATGTAATCAGTTTGTCACTTTATATTTTTAGCTTACAAGAGTGTGTGAGCTACCAGTAGGTAAGAGCTAAATCTTGATTATCTTTATATTCCCAGTGCCTTACCACAGTGTCACGCATGTTGGAGGTGCTTAATAAATATTAATTAGATAGAAGGGTGAATATGTAGTACAAATGTATTGTCCATCAATTATTTAGTATGTATCTTGTTTTCCTGACTAGACTATAGGCTTCTTGTAGATAAGAGTATAAAGTATAATAGTGCCTTCCCCTTACCCATGGTTTTACTTTGTTATCGGTGGTCAGCCATGATCTAAAACTATAAAATACAATATTTCAGAAATAAACACTTTGTAAAGCTTGAAATTGTATGGCATTCTGAGTACCATGATAAAGTTTTATGTCATTCTATGCTGTCCCTGTGTGGTAGTCATCTAATAGTTGAGTCAGTTTTCAGTGTGCCTACTCTATACTAGAGTGCTAGCTGTATTTAAATAACCCTTAATGATGCTTGAGAGTACATTATTGGCAATCACATACACCCAAGGGGAGCCATGGAGTACTTCCCTCACAGCATTAAGAAAAAGACTTCTGGTAAGATTGCCAAGGTCTATAGTAGGAATGCTCCTTCCCTTTTTAATCTATGAAATTATGGACAAGAAAAAGTCAATTTATGCTGGTTTTGTTGAAGCACCATAAACTATAAAAGTTGCGACCGCAGTGCATGATAATTGCTTAGTGTAGGTGGGAACAGCATCCATTGTGGGTTTCAGTACCAACTATAGTTCCTGGCATCCATTGTGGATCTTGGAACATAACCCCTGTGGGTAAGGGGGAAAGCTATTGTAATGTTTAGGGTACTTTTGGACAAAGAATAGTAATTTTTTATGGTTAATGAAAATGAACTTATTTCTAGATGATTATTTCTCAGTAATAAAAATTAGAAGGTCTGGCTAGAAAAATGGCTCACCGGTTGAAAGCACTGACTGCTCTTCCAGAGGACCCAGGCTCAATTCCCAGCACCCACATGGCAGCTCACAATGTCTGTAATCCAGTGCCAGGGGACTGGGCACCATGGTAAAACACTAATACCCATAAAATAAATATATAAAAAGAAAAAAGAAGAGAAAAAAATTACAAGGTCAAAAATCTATTAGAAGCTGGGTGTGATGGTTCATGCCTATAATCCCTGCATTCTAGACACCAAGGCAGAAAGGTGGCCTTGAGTTCATGGTGAGCCTGGGCTGCAAGACAAAACTCTCAGAAAAGAGACACACTGTATTAGAAAAATATGTTGAGGCTACAGAAGTGGTTAGCAATTAGGAGCCTTTGTTGCTCTTGCAGAGGACCTGGGTTAAGTTCCCAGCTACTCTGTCCACTAGTTCTAAGAGATCTAAAGATCTTCCTGACCTCTGTGAGCACTGGGCATGAACATAGTGCACATACATACATGTAGACAACACCATACACATAAAATCTAAAAAAAAAAGCCGGGCAATGGTGGCACATGCCTTTAATCCCAACACGCAGGAGGCAAAGGCAAGTTCGAGGCCAGCCTGGTCTACAAGAGCTAGTTCCAAAGCCACAGAGAAACCCTGTCTCGAAAACCCCCCCAAAAAAGAAAAAAAAAGGTGTTATTATCAGAAGCAACGAGGGCTGGTTATTTATTTATTTACTCATTTCTCTATTTATTTGTTTGTCTGTTTATTTATTTATTTATTGTGGTGCTAAATCCCTAAGCATTCTCACACTGTGCTATATTCCCAACTCTGTGTTTGTTTTTAATAAAGTAGAGTAAGAATCGTATAGTCTTTGCTAGAAAATTGGGCATGACACTAATTTATATCCCTAAGTCTCATGCATTTTTTTTGAAGATGGTGTGATCACGTCAAGGTTCTGAAAGGACATCAGCATATCCCTTAAGCAGACCTAACTGCCTAATTATCCAACCAGTGATGAGGCTGCTCTTGTTTGTTTTGTTTTTTCTCTCTCTCTTTTGTGGGTTCTGAATGGAGTGACAAGAGTGAACCAAAATCTCATCTGGGTTTTACCTGGACTTTTTCAACAGTAGTCTGTTTTGAGATGGGAGCATTATTTTAACTTCCACACCATAAAGTCAGCTTTATGAGTTGTAAATACATTAACTTTTAAAACTTCATTTTTCCTTATTTTAAATAGAATTTACTTCCTGTTTCTTAACGTTAGATATTGTTTTGCTAGCATTTAGCAAGGAGAGTGAAAATTTACTGGTTGCAAATTCTTTCTTTTCCTTTAGAATTACAATGGTGTGTCTGATGTAGAACTGAGAGTAGCGTTACCGGATGGAACAACCGTTACAGTCAGAGTTAAAAAGAACAGCACCACAGACCAAGTATACCAGGTGAGTTAAACTTGAGCAAGGTCACTTGACATTGGATGATGTGAAGCTCAGTAAAAAATTAAATGAGTTAATACATACAAAATACTCAGAGTACACTTACTAATTCGTATAATTTGTGAATTCTGAATAGAACTGACAATGTTTTAAGCCCACGGATTAAGCATAGAAATGTACATATATAGTTCCGGGTACTTTGGATGCTGAGGCAGGATGATCATTTGCATCTAGGAGTTCAAGGCCAATGTAGCCAACATAGTGAGATCCTTCTCTAAAACAAACAAACAAAAAAAGAAAGGTTGAGGGATCTGGAGAGATGGCTTAGCAACCAAAGTGGTGGCTGCTCTTCCAGAGGACCCCGGTTTAATTCCCATCACCCATATGGCTGCTGATAACTGCCTACAACTGCATTCTTTGGGGATCTACATCTTCTGGCTTCCATGGGCACCAGTCACACAGATACACACGCAGGCAAACCACGCATGCACATAAAAATAACTAAATAATCAACGGTTGAGATCTTGTGTGCTAACAGTCTAGAGTAAATGTGAGCTGACTGTGTGAAACTAGGTGTCAGAGGCTCTGTTTTAGGTGTGGTGAGATGACTCAGTGGGTAAAGGCTTCTTCCTCTGAGCCTGGCAACCTGAGTCGAACCTTAGAGGAAACTGATTCCTGCATGCTCTCTGACCTCCACATGAGCTAACCCCCATACACAGAGACAACCAATAAAGTAAATATCTTAAGTATTTTTAAAAATTGTCTTCACTTTATGATCTGCCCTATCAAATATATTTTTTAAGTGATACAAAACACCTTTGTGGGAGCTGGAGTGATAACTCAGTTCTAAGTGATCATTGTCTTTTTCTGGTTTCTGCAACATCCAAATATATAAGGCATTCATTCACACCACACACACTTTAAAAAAAAGAAAAAATACCTTTGTGGAATTAATTCATACTTGAAAAGGAACTTTGACACCAAGGAGGAACTATTATCAGCTTGTACTGGAAGGGAGGTGCTCACAGAGAACAGCTATATTTGGGCTCATGTATGTGTGGACACATGTGTAACTTAAGGATAGCTGTGGGCCGTGGTGATTTCTATGATCCAGGATGCAGAATGTCTCCCTTCCCCCCTTCTCAAACATATTCCTGCCCCAATAGCACTGTCTTAACTTACTCTTCCTGAAGCAACTCTACCCTGTTTAAACTCCAGGCTGTTGCAGCAAAGGTCGGCATGGACAGCACCACAGTGAATTACTTTGCCTTATTTGAAGTTATCAATCATTCCTTTGGTAAGTGCTGGTGGCTGTACTATATTTTATTTGGGGTGTTTATTCTAATACTCTTACTACAGAAACTGCTTTGCCAAAGAAGAGCTTAAGGATGACAGGAGAATCCACTTGTTAGCTGTCTTCAGCAAGCAGACTGGCAGATAGATCTTGTAAAGGATTTCTGATCACTATCTATCCATCTTTTTTTTTTGGCTGTATATAGCAATTTTGATTCCTTGGGAGCAGCCATCTTTCTATTATTTTTCATCCCAACTCTCAGTAGCCTAATACTTTGACATAGACTGTGTAATAAAGAATTGGTAAGATGCCAGATGTTTGGATTCTAATCTTATGCTTTCTAAGCTTTAGCTTAGACTCCTCACTTTCTATAAAGGAGAAATATTGAAAAGCCAAGTAAGCCTCAAGAAAGGACTTAGGAAGCCAGTATAAGGATTAGAAGTAAGATGTGTTGGCACACGCCTGTAATCCCAGCCCAGTGGAGCAGGCTGCTCGGAAGCTACTCAGAAGAGGCCTGAACTATGGCAAATGCCTTAGGATTTGGGGGAGTGGATGAGAAAGAAGTACTTTTCGGCTCTGCATAAATAAATGCAGTACATCGCAGGTGGCCATTGGAGAGACTCCAGATGTCCCATAGCTGGGTAAGAGGAGAGGCTGCTCTGAAGATGGACTTAGCTTGTCCACTTTGATGTTTGTAGCTTATCAGATCATAGATGAAGCATTTTTACTGAATTTGGGAGTTGGCACCCTCTGCAATCATGTTAGCTGAAAGACCTGTCATTCAAGCAATAGATTTCAGTCATCCGCTTTACTGGCCAGAGCCTTAGTTAGAAAAGGTAGATTTGGCTGGATATGCAGTTGTCATGTATTTCTAAGGTAGAGGTTCTTGATGAATTTGGGCTGATGCTGTAATTAATGACAACTTCTGTATTGGTCTGCCTTGTACGGTTCCTACTTGGGAAACTCCTATATATCTCTCCACTTCATCTTTCTTCATTTTGTCTCCTTTAGTACGTAAGCTGGCACCCAATGAATTTCCTCATAAACTCTACGTCCAGAATTATACGTCAGCTGTGCCAGGCACCTGCCTGACTATTCGAAAGTGGCTCTTTACAACGGAAGAAGAAATCCTCTTAAATGACAATGACCTTGCTGTTACTTACTTCTTTCATCAGGTAGGTAAATAAGTCTTCCTCTAAGAGCCAGTTTCTTTTTCTGTTTGTAAATAGCTGGTAATTTGACAATTCAGTGTGAATCCTTGGGTCCAAGTTACACTTACAGTACAGCGTATTCCATTTTGTAAGTGCTAGAGCTATGCCAGAATTTTTTTAAAGTTGGATTTTTTTATCAACAAAATAAGTCTTATGATTTATACATGTTCAGGGTTTTTAAAGCAGTATTATATATGCTGTGTGTCTGGGAAAGGCAAAATATCTGTTTGTTTGTTTGTTTGTTTTAACTGTGTTCTTGTATCATGGTCAACACAAAAGACTTTGTAGGTTAGGGATTTCTCCCCACCAGCAAGTGTGTGATGCTTGAGTGGCTGTCACCCAAGGCATCATTAAATACAATTCAGTTCTGACATTATCTACCTGGAAATATCAAACCCCACAGATCAAGGTCTAAATTCCTCAAACTGCCCCCATTTTAGACCTAATTACAAGTCCTCTGAAACTGCTACTAAACAGCTGGCTGCAATTGACATTCCCATGACTCCCTCCCCTACCATATACTGCTTCTGCTTAAGCTTCTCACAGAGCTCAGGAAACTTGATATTTACCACTTTATTACAGAGGATATTTTAAAGAACATGAATAAGCAGAAATACATTAATGTATTGTCTGCCTAAAAAGGTCTAGAGCCTAGGAGCATCCATCATGGGAGAGCTGGGAGTGTACTGCCTTCCTGGAAGGTGGAAGAATTCTCCTGTTCACTGTCCTGCAAACTGGTCATGTCCAGGCGCTCCATATTTAGGGTTTGGTTGGTGTGTGTGTGTGTGTGTGTGTGTGTGTGTGTGTGTGTGTGTGTGTGTGTGTGTGGAGACTTAATACATGAGCGTGACTGAAATATAAGCAACCATATTAAAATGTGATTGGACATACAAGGTTTGGTTTAATGCTGTTTAGACTGAATGGTGACTCCTAGTTTGGCCTCTCTGTGGCTTAGAACATACCATTTAGGTGTAGACTACCTGAACAACAAACCCCAGGGATCCTACTGTCACTGCCTTCCCAGCACTGGGATTATGAGCATGTGCTACCACTCTTGGCTTTTTTTTTTTTTCATTTATAGTGTTTATGAGTGGTCTGTCTGCCTGTATGTATACCATATGCATGCCTGGTGCCCAGGGAAGCAAAAAGAGGACATTAGATTCTCTGAATGTTACAGATAGTTATAAGTTACCACATGGGTGCTTGGAACCAAATTTGCCTCCTTTGTCAAAGCAACAAATGCTCTTCAACAATGAGCCATCTCTATGGGTGCTGGGAATTGAACTTAGATTCTGTGCTCACACAACAAGCAGTTTACTAACTGAGCTCTCTCTCAGCACCTTCACAGGGTCCCTTTATAGCAATTCAAAGATAGAAAGACAAGGGAAAATTAGCATAGCCCCTCCAAGGACATTCAGGGACCTGGGAAAATGGCCCAGTGGGGTAAGAGCACTGGCTCTGCAATCACAAAGAACTGGGCTCTAATCCTTAAAACTCACATTAAGAAGGAGAACATTTAGGTGACTGAGGTGGCATATATAGGGCCAGCATGGGATTGCACCAGGTCCTCTGTGTATATATCATGGCATCCAGTTCAGTGTTTTTATGGGATTCCTGTGTGTGCCAACAGTTGGGTTTCTGATTCTTGTGCCTTCTCTTGGACTCTTTTCCTTCTGTTTATTGCCAGTTCTGATGTGTTAGTTTTTGTTTTTCTTACATATTTTCTTTTTATCCCTTAGAAAACTGTTTGTTTTTTAATTTTAAAATTTATTCTATTATTTTTTCACATCATGTAGCTTGATTCCCCATCCCTTCCCATCCTCCCTCTGCCCTGGCACCCCAACCCAATAAAACAAAACTCCAGAGAGAAAAAGGAAAAAAATTAAAATGAGAAAAGTAAAACAGTAAGGAATTAAAAATCTTGTCATGGAAGCTGCAGTGTGACCCAGTAAGTCACACCATATATTTCTTGGTCCATAATCGTTGTAAAGAAAGAGTCATTGGTCTGTTTCGAGGCCCCTGGTCTCCACTATACGTTTGATGCTGGGCCCTCCTGGACATCTTGTGTTGTGGAGATCCTGTAGCTTTGGATCTATGGGTCAGGATCCTTCACGTGTTTCAGCAGACCAGAGCTGGGTTAGATGTTTTGGGCAGGCCAAGTCTGGGCCTGGGCAGCTGTAGGGTTGGTCCACCAGTTGGGAAATGGGGACAACTCTCCCATGGTCATTGTTTCAGGACTGACTCTCTCTCCTACCTGTGCCAACGGTGTTCTATTGTGCTACCCAGGTGAGGTGCAAAACCTGCTCTCCTGAGTGTTGCAGCTGGTGGGGGTCAGGGATAGTTCTCCCTCTCTTATGACCACAAGACCAGTTCTCCCACCTGCCCCAGCATTGATGGGCAGAGAGGGGTTGAGGAGGACAGCTCTCCCCAACCCATGCTGCCACAAGACAAATGGGTAATGGGGACAGCTCTCCCATTCTCACAGTTTCAGGGCTGACTCACCCATACCTTTGCTAACACGGTTGACTATTGTGATGCCCTGGTGAGGTGCAAGGCCCTGTTTGTTTTCTAGTGAGAGAGAGAAAGGGAGTGGATCCAGATGGAAGGGAAGGTGGAAAGGAACTGGGAGGGGTAGAGGGAGAGGGAAACTGTACTCAGGATATATTGAGTGAGAATTTTTTTTAAGTTGTTTGAGACAGGGTTTCTCTGTGTAGCTTTGAAGCCAACTGGTCAAACTTTCAACACCTTTTAAAACTGTGTGGGCGCTGGGTGGTGGTGGCGGCGGCGCACACCTTTAATCCCAGCACTTGGGAGGCAGAGGCAGGTGGATCTCTGTGAGTTCCTGGCCAGCCTGGTCTACAAGAACTAGTTCCAGGACAGGCTCCAAAGCCTCAGAGAAACCCTGTCTTGAAAAACCAAACAAACAAACAAAAAACTGGGTGGGCTTCCATGTTAAAGCTAGAGTTTACACTCAATGGGTCCATATTCATAAACTCAGCCTAACCCAGTTCCTTCTACTTCATTCTGTACCCTTAAAATTCATTCCCATGCATATTCTCCAGACTGCTGTTTGAATTAATTAAGGCCTTTAGTGATAACGGTGTATCCCTTCATAACCACACCTTTGATCTCCCCTGTAGGAACCTGCTTGGCCTTAAGTCTGATTATGGGTCTAGAGGCAACTACTGGTGGCCCTGAGGGACATCAGTATTGTTTTGACTGGCATCTCCTTCAGAGAAAGCCACGGCTGCTTCAGCAGGCAAGGAAGGATTAGTTCCTCCAGCAAAGGTGGGGAGGGCAGTACTTCAGGGGTTGGTGATGCATCCTCTGCTAAGGATGGGGAGACTGTTTCCTCATGTGAGATAACCCCTTCAGAATCTAAGGGTTCAAAGTCCTCCACCTTGGGATCCTCTTACACATCTTCACCTCAGTTACCGGATCCTATTCCTTGTCAATCAGTGTCCTTGAACACTGACCCCCTCTGGTTCTGTGACTTGGGTGACTATCACTGTAGGTCAGCCAGCCTTACAATGAGGGCTTGGGTTTGATTTCCTGCAGCCTGATCTCTGTGGCTGATGGAGAGAAGACCCTCTTCCAGGGCACGCTTAGAAGCTTTTAAAACTGTTTATGTGACCCTGGAGCTGGCTGATTTTTTTTCATTGAGCTCATGATTTTCCACTGTCAGTTTAACCAGAGTTTCTAGAAGAAACCAGCCAGCATCATTGTTTTCTTTACTTACCCCAAATTGTCAAAAGTTTTACAGTCGTTTAATTCCTTGTTCTCATGAAATATTTCTAGCGATGGGCTTTCAATGTTCTTCATTACTACCAGGGAAGGCTTCAGTAACTGTAGGTGTCAGGGAATTGCAAAGCATATTCCAGATGCTTCAGAAATTTATCCTTATAGTGGGCAGTGTGGTTCATACCTTTAATTCCAGCATTTTAAAGACAGATCTCTGAGTTCAAGGTCAGCCTAGTCTATAAAACAAGTTCCAGGGCAGGCAGAGCTCTTACACAGAGAAACCCTGTCTCAAAAAAACAAACAAAACAAAAAACAAAACCAAGAACCAGAATTTCATCCTTATAATTCTGTTTCTCCAGAACCACTCCTGTATTAGGGGTGTGGGTGTGGGGGGGGGTGGGTGTGGGTCTTCCCCCCACCTCAAATGATCCAATCAAGAGAAATCCCTCCCAGGTGTGCGCAGCTGCTATGTGTTAGTTGATTCCAGGTATAATCAAGTTGACAGCCATATTGGTCTAGAACTCATTATGTAGCCCTGTCATTAATCTCTCTGTCTACTTGTATTGCATCTTCACATTGGGGATTTATAGGCATGTGCACCATGTTGAGCTCTGTGTGGAAATTTGGTCTTTTTTGATCTGGCAAGTTGTTGAATGATTAAATTGATTACTTCTAATCTTTTGTTATCTTTTGGAACTCAGATTCTGACACAGAATTTCTTCTTCATTCTGTCCCAAATTTATATTCAATTGTTTGATCTCTCTCTCTCTGTCTGTCTGTCTGTCTGTCTGTCTGTCTGTCTGTGTCTTTCTCTAGTCTCATGTAGAATAGGCTAGTCTTGGGGATGACCTTTAAGTTCTGATCCTCTTGTTGTCACCTCAAGTGCTAGGATTACAGGTGTGCACCACCACACTCAGCTTTTTAAAAAGTGTGTAGTTCAGGAATGTGGAGCTAATTCATTTTGTTGTGCAACAGATTTCCAGAACTCTTGTTACACTAAAACTCTACACATTAACCCTGTTTTCATACCGTCCTGTGCAAACTCCATCTCCCACTCCTTTAGCTTGCCTCATGTAAGTGGAATCCTATACAGTGATTGTTTTTCATGGTGGTTATTCCACTTAGCAAAGCATGCTTGAAATGCATTCCTGACAAGGTTTCCATTTCATAGGTTGACTAACATTACCTTCTGTTTTGTCTTTCCATTCATTTGGGGGATGGACATTTGAGTTGCTTCTACTGCTTGGCTGAGTAGTGCTGCTGTGACCATGTGTCCCTTTGAAATCCCCCTTTTCATTGTACTTAGAATTGAGGTTATTGAGCTGGGCAGTGGTGGCACACATACTCAGGAGGCAGAGGCAGGTGTATCTCTTGAGTTTGAGGCCAGCCTGGTCTACAAAGTGAATTCCAGGAGAGCCAAGGCTACACAGAGAAACCTTGTATCAAAAATCATACACATTGCCGGGCGTTGGTGGTGCACGCCTTTAATTCCAGCACTCAGGAGGCAGAGGCAGGCAGATCTCTGTGAGTTCGAGGCCAGGCTGGACCGACAGCCTCCAAAACAGAGAAACCCTGTCTCGTAAAACCAAAAAAAAAATCATACACAAGATGGATGGATGGATGGATGGATGGATGGATGGGTGGGTGGGTGGGTGGGTGGGTGGGTGGGTGGGTGGGTGGGTGGATGGATGGATGGATGGACAGATATAAACAATTGGGTGGATCTAGAGGTGTTTGGGTGTTTGAATATTGTGAAAGATTTGATGGCAGAATTGGTTGTTGTACCCACTGGTGTAAAAGGAACATTTTACTGACATATGTAGAAAGAGTTCTCAGAGTTGCTAGAGTAAATCGATCTGCCTTGGCTCCAGGAAGTATCCTCAAATGCTTAGGTACGACTTATGTTATGACAGACATCACTGTAGGTATTGAGGATTAGAACTAAACAAAAAAAAAATTTTTAATTTGGTCATTAGAAAAAAAGGGCATGTTCAAACTTGAATTTTCTACTTGTCTCTATTCATCTACCCTCTGTCTGTAGTCTGGTTACTGGTCTGTCTGTTTTCTGTCTGTTGTGTGTGTCTTTGTCTGCTGTGGACTGTCACCAACAGATGGCTTTGCTCTGTATTTATTGACTAACACAGAAGATAGGGCATGGGGAAGGAGTAAGGGGTATTTTATAGAAATCTTTAACAGTTTTACATGGGGTGGAACTTTCCTGGCTCCAATTCACCCCAAAGCACTCAGAAAAACAAACATACTGCAAAGATTATTAAGCCATATTCATATGCTGTTTCCAATACTTATGGTTGATATTTATTTTATAACAGCTTCCAGCAAATTACACACACACACACACACACACACACACACACACACACACACACACACACAGCCTGAATTACGCATTAGCTTAGGTTGTAAATGGGAAATTCAAGGGATATTAAAGTTGTTGTTGCTCGTGTTCTCTTAAGTTGGGTTACACCTAAAGAGGCTGAGCATGCAGAGGTTAGTAGGTTAGGTCTTAGGTGAGCTCAGGTTGCTTTATTAACTTTACTGTGATGTTCAGAAAAAGTTTTGTCTCTTTGAATACAAGAAATATTTTCATAAAATTATCACTTCAAAAAATTGTTAAGATAGCCGTGACTGTCCTGGAACTTGATCTGTAGACCAGGCTGGCCTCAAACTTAGAGATCCACTTGTCTCTGCCTCCTGAGTGCTGGGATTAAAGTGCGCCACCACTGCCTGATAGTCATCTTTTGTTGTCATCTGTATGTGTGGTTCTGTCGAACTGAAAGGGTTTAGGTGACCTTGCAGGGTATAGCAGGCTTTCTTTTGGGACACCAACCAGCTCCTAAATGAAGACATGGAGACTTATTATTAGTTATGACTGCTCAACCTTATCTTATACTTTGTCCCACTAGCTTTTTGGGGTTTTTTGGGGGGGGTAGAGACAGGGTTTCTCTGTGTAGCTTTGGAGCTTATCCTGGCATTCGCTCCGTAGCCCAGGCTGGCCTCAGACTCACAGAGATCTGCCTGCCTCTGCTCCCAAGTGCTGGGATTAAAGGCGCTCGCCACCAATGCCCAGCTCCCACTAGCTTTTTTTTTTTTCTTTTTGGTTTTTTGAGACAGGGTTTCTCTGTGGCTTTGGAGGCTGTCCTGGAACTAGCTTTGTAGACCAGGCTGGTCTCGAACTCACAAAGATCCGCCTGCCTCTGCCTCCGGAGTGCTGGGATTAAAGTGTGGGCCACCAACGCCTGGCCCCACTAGCTCTTATAACTTAATTTAAGCTGTTTCTCTTCATCTGTGTCCTACTTTTCCTGCTTCTTCCTTGTCGGTCTGGCTGGTCAGCCCCAGTGTCTCCCTTTCTTTCTCCCTCATTCTCTCTTCTCTCTCCTCCATTCTAGAATCCTCCTCCTACTTATACTCTCTGTCCACCAGCCCTACCTATCTCTCTTCTGCCTACGTATGGCCAGTCATCTTATTAAACCAATCAGGTGCCTTAGACAGGCAAGATGAAACAGCAACACATCTTTACATAATTGAAACAAATGCACCACAGCTTTACATAGTTAAAGCAATATTCCACAGCATAAACAAATTAACACTTTTTTGCATAATTAAAGTAATGTTCCTCAATGGGCGTTGGTGGCGCTCACCTTTAATCCCAGCACTCAGGAGGCAGAGGCAGGTGGATCTCTGTGAGTTTGAGGTCAGCCTGGTCTACAGAGCGAGTACCAGGACAAGCTCCAAAGCAATACAGAAAAACCCTGTCTTGAAAAACAAAATAAAATAATGTTCCTCAACAGCAGGGCATAGAGCCAGGAGTTGATCTACTATTTTGATTTCAATCTTGAACTCATTTTCTTTTCTAAGATTCTGGGAAACAAGGTGTGGTGATACACATCTGTGTTCCCAGAACTCAGATCTGAGGCAGGAGAATCATGAGTTAAAGACCAGTATAGTCTGCATGATGTACTCCAAACAGGCCTTGGTAAGAAACTGTCTCAAGAAAAAAAAAAAAGAAGAAGAAGTAAAACTATGGGAACATTATGTAACATTAATGCTACAGCAACATCCATTTTCTTCTTTATCCCATTCCTTCCTCATCTCTGTGTGTGAGTGTGTGTGTGTGTGTGTATATATATATGGAGAGAGAAAGAGAGAGAGAGAATGAGCATGCTTATTTTAGACCCATACTTAAGTAGTCTATTGCCTTAAGTCAGAATAGCTTCATTTAAGTTCAGCAGATCTGTTTCCTAAATGTATTTAGGCCACAAGTATTCCTGTTCTCTTACTTCATCTGAGAGTCTTTTTCACTCAGCCTACCCAGAGAGGTCTACCTTTGGCTTCTCCAGTGACTGTGGTTACAGCCACTCCTATTCTAACTAGCTGCACATGGCGCACTTTTCACCATATCCGTTGTGTCATTGTTACCTTTAATAGATGGTGTGTGTGCGCTCTCTCTCTCTCTCTCCTTGCTCTTCCATTGTTTTCATGTGTTTAAGCTTTCTCATATACCACCCCCCTGAAGCACTAGTTATTCTAGTAAATACCCCTGTTCGATGCCAGACCTATCACTGTGGCGATGATGATGGTGACTGAGGCCAATACATGCTTTCCTGAAAATGCATCTAGATAAACTTTCTTTCTCTGCCTTTGCTTTGTGATAGGCTGTTGATGATGTAAAGAAAGGTTACATTAAAGCAGAGGAAAAGTCTTACCAGTTACAGAAGCTGTATGAACAAAGGAAAATGGTCATGGTAAGTTTGTGTCTCCAGATACTTTTATAGAATGCCCTGTTACCTCTTAAACTTCTTGTTCTAGTCAGTTTTGAAAGGCACCACAATCTGGTCAGAGGCTTAATTAATTAAGAGGGAGAGCATATAGACTTTAATGAAAAAATCCCATTGTGTTTTCCCTGTTTACATCAAAAACTTGGATTATTATACATAGGTATATAATTTTGTTAGTAGCCAAATAATATTCTTTTGTGTGAAGAGCGAGGAATAGGGATCCATTTCTGTCATCCTAGCACTCTGGAAGTGGAGGAGGCAGGAAAAAGGGTTGTCCTTAGCTGTCTGAGTTTAAGGTCAGCCTCGGCTACATGAGTCCTGTCACAGAACACAGCAGAGTGATATTGAAAATATAATGTTGGCTGGAGAGTTGGCTTGGTGATTGAGAACACTTGCTGATCTTACAGAGGATCTGAGTTAAATTCCCAACACCCACATGGCTGCTTACAACTGTCTGCAGTTCCGGTTCTAGGGAACCTGACCTCTTCTGTCCTCTATGGACACTAGGCATACACATGGTATACCTATATACTTGTAGGCAAAACACTTACACATAAAATAAATACATCTTTAAAAAAACCTTAACATTATAAATATTCTGTAAGAACCCAGTATTTAGATTTTTTTAAATTTTTAGTATTTATCTATTCTAGAGCATATCTCAGCTCAGGTTAGCCTAGACCTTGGTGTGTAGACCAGACTGACCTCAGACTCTCTATAAAGACCAGGCTAGCCTTGAATTTGATTTGAATTTCCTATTTCAGCCTCCCAGATGGTGAGAGGACAAGAAAAAGCCACCACATTCAGTTAGATCTGAACATTAAGATTTAGTTTAGGGGCTGGAGAGATGGCTCAGAGGTTAAGAGCACTGACTGTTCTTCCAAAGGTCCTGAGTTCAATTCCCAGCAACCACATGGTGGCTCACAACCATCTACAATTCAATTGGGTGCCCTCTTCTGGCATGTAGGCAAAATACTGTATATGTAATAAATAAATAAATCTTTAAAAAAAAAAGATTTAGTTTAGTTGTGAGTTAGTAAAGTCGTTACTTTTACAACTTATTTTTCTCCAGGTTTTTAGACAGTTATGCTCAGTAGTGCTTTTTTTTATATATGATTTCCTAGAGTTGCAATTGATTTAGACACTACTGGCTTCATGTGGCTATTTAAGTCTAAAATTGACATTATTTAGAATTCATTCCTTTGGTTATACTGACCACATTTTAAATGCTAAATAGCCACATGTGACCAGTGACAGTTATGCTGAACTGTGCAGGTGTAGAACATTTTTGGCATTGCAGGAAGTTCTGTTGGATAGTGCTGCCTAGCATGCTCTTTAAATGTTTTTAAATTAGTTTTTAATTTGTGTCTGCTATAAATACAGATGGACATTGTAAAAAGAATAATAAAAATAACATTGGTAAAGAATATTTATAAAAATTTCAGTCATTTATAAATTTATAATTATAGAATATTTAATATATCATATTATATAATATATGCTATATATTATAAATTTATAAATCTCTCTTGGCAGATTACTTGCAGCTAATTTTTGCAGTGTCCCATGTGTATCACACAGGATAGTAGGTGCATTGGTAATGATTCTGATACACTACTTGGATTATTTTTGCTTTCTGTGTACTTACTATCCATTTAAGTTAATTTATTAATTTAATTAGGCCAGGTGTGGTGATATATGCTTATAATCTCAGCTTTCAGGAAGCTAAGGCAAGAGGATCATTATTTAAACCAGACCGGGCTGCCTAAGGAATTTGAGTTTGAGATCAGCTTGGACACTTAGTGAGACCCTGTCTCGACATCATTCATCACCCTATACACATACACAGAGAACCATTAAATTAGAAGGCAAATAGGGTCAGTGTTGACCTTACCCCATGACCTTACATCTAGAGAGGATAGTTATTTTATCACTAACATGATTAAAAATAATTTCTCTTCCATAGAAAATCACCAGAAATCAGGGAACTATCTTATCAATACATACAAACAAGCTAAAATGGAAAATCAAAACTGTTTTAAGTATAATTAAATATTGACAGAATTTTAGCTAAGGGAATTTTCCTGTCTATGAAATAGTATTTAAAGCACAACTGTTGTTTAAGATAGTAGCTGGGACCAAGTGTGATGGCACACACTAGCAGGTCACTGAATGTGAGACCAACCTGCGTATGGAACTGCCAGGCTACTTAGTAAGGTCTCATTTCAAAAAACAAACAAAAATCCATTGTCTTGGGGGCTGGAGAGATGGCTTAGAGGTTCAGTTCCCAGCACACACATGGCATTTCACAACTACCTGCAGTTTCAGGGGATCTGATGCCTTCTTTTGGCCTCCACTGCACCAGGCACACATGTGTTGTATAAACATACATGCAGGCAAACATGGGTATACATACAATAAAAGTAAAAACCATATTTTAAAAAGCATACTTGGGAGCTGGGCAGTGGTGGCGGACGCCTTTAAGAAGAAGAAGCAGCAGCAGCAACATATTTGAGATTGTGAAACCCGAAGACCTTCAGAATGTCATTTCAGGTTTGGGAGACTTGGCTCCCCAGGTTCCTCTCAGGGCCTTGCGTCCATAAGACCTGGTTGGACATTTGGCAGGTTAGCTGGGAGAGCACAGAATTCTTTAGAAGGGACCCTTAGCCCATTCACTGAAGTGTACTAATGTTAGGTACCACACCCCTCTCTTACTATTGAACATTTATGAAATGTCCTGGTTTACCATGCCTTTCCAAGTGGTCCATTTATTAAGGCATATGTAATGACTCAAGGCCATATTTAGGTATTCAAAATTGGGAATGGGCAGAGTAATTCTGTGTGCCTGTTTTGCTTTTTGTAGATGGGGTCTCATATGCCCAGACTGGGTTTGTACTTGCTGTCACGCCAAAGCTGGCCGTGAACATCTTCAGACTTCCATCTCCCAGATGTATACACCATGCCTAGCTTTAAAATTTTGCAAAGTTTTTTAGATACATGTTGTAAATGTGTTAGAAAATAAAAATTTACTTTTTCTAGTTTTAAATTTATGTAACTTTTCAATGTTTCTTCTTTTCGAGTTTGCTACAAACTCAACAGTGCAGGGATTGTCTACTTGAAACTGAGAAATAATGCCAACCTGAGAGTCTCCAGACTTGGTCCCAGTGAGACTACATCTGGCTTCTCTTCAAGGACATGGTGCCCTTGATTTCCAATCAGATTGTTTTTAGAACTCAAGCCAGTAAGAACTCTCTTGAAGGTCTTTGGCTTTCAGGATGACATCTTTGAATCCATGGGCAGGAAGAGGAGATTCGGACTGTGTTGGTCCTGTTCTAGCCTGGTGATAAAGTGCCGCCTTGTTTTACAAGTGAACTCAGTGCAATTGTTACCCAGTGACCAAATGCCAGGCAAGAAGCAACTTCAGAGAGGAAGAATTTGCCCTGGCGACAAGAGTGGGAGACAGTTGGTCAAGGCCTGCCCCTGCTGACCTAGTTTCCAGGAAAGCCCCACCTCCTGAAGGTTCCATAGTCTTCCTAAAACAGTGCCAGCCAGCTGGGGACTAAGTGTTCAAACACATTTCACATTCAAACCACAGTGTCTCCGGTCATGTGACTAGTCCAAGTCAAGCTAGGATGTGGAGTGGTGCTAGAACTCCAGTGCATGTTTTCCCAGAATCAGGGGAGAGAGGGTGATCTCTGCTTCCAGTGGCAGTGGAAAGGTCCCAGGAATAATACTTGCTTAATATCACAGAGCATTCAGGATACACAGAGGTCCATACCTCCTCGTCTGGTCGCTTTCTCTAATCTTTGCCTTTATCTGCGTGCTGCTTAGAAAGAAATCTATACAGAGAGCTGGGTATGGTGGTACAAGCATGTGATTCCAGTACTCATGAGGCAGACACAGAAGCACAAGTTAAAGGCTAGCCTGATGTATTTATTCTGTTCCACGCCAGCTTACTGGGATCTGCATAAGACCCTACCTCAAAGACATTCACCCCTCTGCCCACAAGAAAATCGGTGCAGTAAAATTGCCCTATTGGGACTATGGCAGGCATGTTCATCAAAACAGCAGAAGTGTGTCCTGAAGGAGGCAATTCTCAATGAATTCCTTTCATGCCAGCTCTTTTTTGTTAAAAAGCATGAGCAGAGCTAATCTGCAGGTTCTATGGCACCCACCCACCCACCTGCATTACAGGTTGTTAAGCACCGTGGAGCAGAATAGCGGTGCATTGAGCCTGTCAGTGTTCCTGATAATTGTGCTGGGAATATGGCTTGGATTGGATGTTGAAGGCTTGGGTTCAGGGTAATCTTTTTTCTTTACTATTTCATTGTAAACTTTTAAACACATGGAGAAGCTGAAAAGATGGTAGAGAAGGTTCAGAAGGCCTCATGTACCAGCTGCTGTGCTGCCTGGCAGGCTTCACCTTTCTGACCTGCATGCTTTGTTTGGCTCTGTCTTGTTCTAGAGGTGGTTTGTTTTGTTTTGTTTTTGCTTGCTTCTCTGTGATGTCAAAGGTTGAACCCAGGGCTTCACGAATGTTTGGCAAGTACTCTTTCAGAGCTAACTTTCAAGTCCCTACCCTGGAAGTCGTTTTTGTTTTTAATGTGTTATGTGTGATTGTCTGCTTGTCTGTATATGCACCATGTGCGTGCAGTCCCCAAAGAATCCACAAGAGAGTGTCATGAGCTCCCCAGTGTGGGTGCTGGGAACCAGACTCTGGTCCTCTGCAAGCATAGCAAGTGTTCCTAAATGCTGAGCTGTCTCTCCAGCCTCCTGCTCTGGAGCCTTTAAAAGTAATTTCCAGATCTGTCAATTTGCAACCATTCTTTTTTTTATACCATGTAAGTGTATCACCACTCCCTGAGTTCTCAAGCTGTTCTTGAGAGAGAAAATGGTTGTGCCCTTTGGCTAATAATAATGGAGCTTTTAAAAGGTTTTTAACTGCTGGGTGGTTGTGGCACACGCTTTTAATCCCAGCACTCAAAAGACAGAGGCTGGTATATCTCTGTGAGTCCAGTTGACAATTAAGCCAAGCCAGCTACCACACAGACATACTTGAGACTCAGGTAACTGGGTCACTTAGCTGGTGAAGAAAGGAAGTCTAAGGATCTAGGTCTAATTGTTCCATTTCTGATGAAAAGCCTCATGGTAGGTTTACATCACTCGGTATTCTATAAAGTGACTAGGTTTTTTGTTGTTGTTGTTGTTTAGTTTTAACGTGTTGAGTGTGAGTCTTCATTAAGACCAGTGTAACTTGCTTAGAAAAGACGGGGAAACTACTATGAAGATAGATTAGATTCCCACGCTGGCTGCTTTCTAGTGCAAGAGGTATTGACTGTAGTCTCTTGTGTCACCCTTACATGAAGAACGGGTGTTAGAAGGATGAGGGTAAAGGATGAAAGTGGGATAAAAGAGTGCCACAGGCTGACCCAGCGTAGGGACAGATGTGAAATGAGAAGCCAGGCCTTTAGTTAGGTGAAATCCTCTTGTGCACCCCAGTAGCTGCTCTGTGGTTTTCATTTTTATTCTTTATTTGTTTAGTACCTCAACATGCTAAGGACTTGTGAGGGCTACAATGAGATCATCTTCCCACACTGTGCCTGTGACTCCAGGAGGAAGGGGCATGTTATCACGGCCATTAGCATCACGCACTTTAAACTTCACGCCTGCACTGAAGAAGGGCAACTGGAGGTGAGAGTTGCCTAGGGCTGGGCCAGGAGCTCTGTCAGAGGGCAGTTGACACTTAATTCTGTGTTTTAGTTCCTCTTTGTAGAGCAAATGAAATCAAATGAATGATAATCAGCAACTCCACATTATCCTTACTTCACTGGATTCTTACACCAAATTACTCATTTTGATGATGGTGCGTGTGTGGTGTCTGGGTGTATGCGTGCACACTCACACACAGAAGTGCCTGTGCAAGGGGCATGTGTGGAGGTTACAGGACAACTTTGTGGAGTCATTTTCTCTTCTTCCACCTTTGGTGGGTTCTGGGGCTCAAACTCAGGTCAGCTTGCCCAGCAAGCACTTACCCACTGAGCTACCTCACCAGCCTCAGTGTCTCTCACAGCCTTTCCCTGAGACGCGAGCATTTCCCAATCAGAATCCCTTGGTAGACCTTACTCTGATGTTCTTGGCTGTCTAGAACCAGGTAATAGCGTTTGAATGGGATGAGATGCAGCGATGGGACACAGATGAAGAAGGAATGGCCTTCTGTTTTGAATATGCACGAGGAGAGAAGAAGCCTCGATGGGTTAAAATCTTCACACCATATGTGAGTGGGAAATGGGAGACGTGGGGGAAATAGATTGGACTTTTGAAGTAAATCCTAGTGGAACAAAAAGGAAAAATTGCATGAATCTGAGGCTCTAGGAAACAACAAAGTTATGATCTCAGAGAACTCTTTCTCTCCATTGTCTTACCATAGTTGGTGTTTATTGCTCTTGTCTGTTTGTTTATGACAAGGTCTCACTATATAGCCATGGCTGGCCTGGAACTTGCTCATGTAGACCAGGCTGACTTTGAACTCAAAGAGGTCCACCTGCTTCTGCCTTCTGAGTTCTGGGATTAAAGATGAATGTCATCACATCCTTGATTTCTCCGTAGTGTTTCTATAGCCCCAGAATACATGCTTTTACTCCTTTGTTGATAACCATAAGATCAAAAAGACCAGTTTGACATTTTGTCTAGGTGTGATTGTGAAATTTGCTTCCTGTATGTCATAGTCACCACTAGGAGGAGCTAGAGAACAATAGATTGCCAGGTCTGAGTTCGCTGCAGGATTTTTTTCTATCCTGGGTGGGCTTGGAAGGTGGGATGATAGAATTGAAGTTAAAAGGCGTGGTCTTGTGCCTGGTCTTGGGAGTCAGTGAGTATTGCTGCCTTTATTTTGCTTTTTGTTTTTTTCAGTTCAATTACATGCATGAGTGCTTTGAGAGGGTGTTCTGCGAGCTCAAGTGGAGAAAAGAGGTAATTTTAAAGAATTCTTGAATTAATTTCTTCATCTTCTTGTTTAAAATTTATAGGCCCATGACCAAATACTGGGACCCTCACCTCCATTTCTGTCTTTCTAGGAATATTAGTTAGAGACTGATTATCCTATGTGAGCCAGGACATTCTCCCTGCGAGGCTGGCCTCTGGATGGTGAATGGGCTATGCAAAAAAGCCCTGCTACTTCCCTTGTGTAGAGGGTGGACACTGGCTGCAGGCTCTCCCATCTCTCATGACTTCATGGACCCTCTTCTGCCTGTTTGTTTGATTTTTGTTGTTGTTGTTGTTGTTTTAATCAAATAACCCACCATGCTGTCCCTGACCCAGGAGAGGCCCTGCCCTGAGTTTTGGCCATCTGTCTGGATAAGCCTCAGTGGAGTCTGTCTTCACTAACCAGGGGCATATGTGGGGAAGATTTGTTGCTACTGTTGTTTGTAAGCATCAGTGCTGGAGCAGAGTTTAGAAGACTGTCTAAATACTTAGAGATGAAGAGGCACAGCCAGTCACGTGGGAGTTGGTGTCCTTGCTGTAGTAGAAAGAACACTTGGCTCTGGAAGTCATCTGGGATTTCTCCTGCTTCTTTTATCTGTGATTTTGGGCAGAGCAGCCTCCTTAGATCTGAAGCCTCTTGTGAAACAGGAAGACCGAGCCAGGCTGTACTATTCAGAGTCCTCTGTGCTCGCAGAGGCTGTGGTTCTGGATGGGAAGCTCGATGCAGTTGTCAGCCAGACTCGCAGCTACAGCTCTGTTTGAAGGTGGTTGTCTCCAGATCAGAGGCCACACCGCTCCTGAGTAACTCTTCTTTTTTTTCCCTTTCAGAATATTTTCCAGATGGCGAGGTCACAGCAGAGGGATGTGGCCACCTAGCTTTTCCTCATCCCTTCCCTTCTCCTTGCCCTCATCCTCTTAGCCCTTTTGTCTCCCATGTCAGACAGTAACCATTAACACAAAAGAAGAAAAAAAGGAAAAAAAGTCAATATATCCCAAAGTCCTAAGATAATATTATTACTAACTCCCTGTGAGTTTCACATCTCTGGAACTGAGCTGGTAGAGAAGAGCAGGTTGGCAGTGCCAGGAGTCCACTGAGATCAGGCAGAAATAAGCCCAACCAACTCGCCAAAGGCACCTTTGTTGTTTTCCCTGGGCCTCATACCAACAGACTCTCCTTGTACTATATTTTTAAAACTGGAACTATGAACTCCATCCATTTGCACTGTTCAAGCATATATATGTATGTATGTATGTAAAAAATTATATATACACAAATTAGCTGCACGTATATACATATATATATTTCTCTTTAAATTTCATATTGATGGCAGTACCTTTTTTAGCTTGTGTTTTTACACACCTTTCACTGAATTCATGACCTCTCTCTTGCTCTCTTTATTTTGAAACAAACTTTAAAAAGGAAAAAAAAAATTACAGGGAAAATACCTCTCCTCATGAAGGACTCGAAAAGTTTACAACCTGCTTGGGTTTTCCCCCCTTTTTGTATCGAGTACAGTTTCTGGCTATTGGTTTGCCATAGAGTCTGAGGAGCAAGGAGTGAAGTGTCTATCTTCAAGAGGGTGCTGAGGAGGAGAAAAGCTGTTTCTCAAGAGCAATGAGACTGCAGGTCTCCAGGGAATCTAAAAGAGCTATGGTCTCAATTCCAAGTCATTTGCCTGGTCTGTTGTTCCCACTTATGACCTACTAGTTCATTCTGCATCTCCTTCCTGTTTCTTTAGGGTCTTTTATATGCTTCCTTTCAACTCTCCCACAGCCGAGTTGAGAGTAGTGTCAGGAAGCTGCTGCCATAGGAAACTTGTGTTCTGCGACACAGAGAGTATTGGGGACTAGGAGAAAGCCTAGCATCTGAGGCACAAAGGTTGGACATGTGGAGGGAAGGAAGAAGCAATGCCTCCTGTTTCTAAGGGTTTTGCCTCCTCCATTCCTGTCCAGTAACCACCTATATTTTATATCTGCCATGACTTCCTTAAACAATTGTATGGGGAGGGAATGGCTTAGGTAAACTTAGAGTCTGGGTCTCTATCAACCAAATCATAGCCCTATTCATCCCTATTCATGCCAACTAAGGGCCCAGGAACAAGTGGACGTATGCTTGATTTTGGCTGATCTCTCCCTGTTACTTCAAAGGGGACCGAAGAGAAATCTCTGTCAAAGAGTTCTTCATCTGGGGCTTGGGCTGGGCCTCAGTTGGTAGAGTGCTTGCCTGGTATGCATAAAGCCCTAGGTTCTGTCCCCAGCACCACATAAATCTGCGTGTGATAGTGCCCACCTGTAATCTCAGCACTTAGGAGGAGAGAGCGGCAATGTTGGAAGTTCAAACCCATCCTCTGCTACTAAGTGAGTTCAAGGCTATCCTGGATTCCATAAGACCCTGTCTCAGAAATAGAAGAGGTTCTTGTCTGCCCTTTCAATTAGATTTGTAGGGCCTAAGTGCTACATCTGGGGCACAGGCCAGGGCTGGCACTAGAGTAACATTTTCAGACCTTGAGTTCCTGCTTCCCTACTTTACCTTCCAAATAGAAGCCTCCACAGGCTGGCATCCTTGACTTTATGTAGCTGGAGGACAACTGGAATTGGGTGTATTTGGCAGTGTTGCATTTGTTTTAAAGTTTTCATACTGGTTTTCCAGATCACTATGAGGCCACTTTTCTGTCTATTATTCTGGCAGTCACTTGTCCCAGGAAGGTGTAAACCTTTTAGGATAGCCTAGTCCTTCCCTCTCCAAATCTGTGGGACCACAAAGAATGGTGAGTGTTTAAAGTTGAAGAGAGTGACACTTGATTTGAAGGCTTTAATCCAGGATCAACTCTTCCTTTTGGCTTTAATAATGAGTCTGAGTACCTTAAAAGTAGATGCATTAATTTCCACTCCAAGATGCATTGGAGGCCATCTTTGTTCACACTGTAAAAAATAGCAACAGTGTGCTTCTATTCCCTTGGCAGGAAAGGTATGAAGGAGTCTACTCAACAGCCTTCCAGAGTGAGACAGGTCTTTCTGGAGGCCCAAAGAATGAGCCCCAAAGCTGTTAGCCTGATAACAGAATCTGTATAGGAGCAGCCTACTTGAAGTAGTCTCACAGCTGCAGCAATTAAGTGGGAAGGGGAGACCCAGAAGACTCACAGTGGGACTCCAGTCATGGAGGCAGAGGTCACTGTGCCTAGAGGCCCACAGGATCAAGCCCCTTTGCATGAAGCAGTGTTAGGTTAACTCTATTCCATCCCCCATTTCCCCTACACTTCCTTTCTCCAGTCCCTAATGTGTTTCTTAGTCCTGCCTTCTTTCTGCCCAGGCTGGCATCTACCCAGTCTTGTTTTGCTGTTTGTCTCTGAGAAAGGGAACCCCTCTCCCCAGCTTTACCCCAGCAGGATCTTCCTGGTCTCCTATTGTCCAACCATGTTGAGTTTCTAGTCTCCAAAACAAAAATTGACGTGATTTTTATGGACCCTGAGAAACCTGGCCTTGTAGGAAGCTTTGCTTAAGCAGTGCTTTGAGCTTGCTGCTCTTTGTATTTTTATCCTCGTCTCCATTTTTCTGCCCATGCTGAAGCCTAAGCTCAGCACAGCTACAGATGTACTAGTGCTCAGGGCAGCTCCGAGGCCTGGACAGAGCTCTCAGGGAGGGACAAGATAAATATTCCAGCATCCTCTTGCCTGGCCCATAGTTTTATCCTTAGTTTCGTGGGCCAGCAGCTTTGAGTTACCCCTTTTATAGCTCCAAATCCGATGTGTGGGGCAGCAAAGTAGGGCACTGATAAGAGGGGACCCCTCTCTCATCTCAGAATTTCCAGCTGAAGGGCCAGCTCCTAGAAAGCAGTTTTCTTAAAGGGACCTGAAGTCTCCAGGACTGGAGGACCGCCCTGCTCTCCTGTCCGTTATGGTGTCTGGGGGGATGACCTCAGCACACTGCTCTCCTTCACCAGTTTTATGGATTACTTTAACTTCTATTTGGATAAGGGAGAGTGTGGCCAAGTACTCAGAGCTAGTGAGAGGGAGAATGCCTCTTTAGGCCTCCACCTTGGGTTCCTCTTGCTCTAACCCTGAGTGCGTCTGCCAGACCTCCTTTACCTAGACAGCAGCAGCTCCTCAGCAGTAACTGAGGGTGTACAGAAACCGGACTCTGGGGAGGAACACGACTGAAGAGGGACTGACATTGGTAGGAGCACTTGGCCAGCTGCTAAACATGGGTGCCAACTAGATGTCATGCCCCCTTTTAAGCCAGTGAGCTGGGCTTCACTTTTCCCCAGGCCATGCATCCTTTTAATTTATTTGAGAGAAACTCTAATTGTATTTTCACTGCAGTATCTTGTGTTTTTATTTGTGATCTATGAAATGTGAAGAGACAATGCAGAGACCACACTGGCTCCGGTGTCCTCCAGCCCCTGCTCTAGAGCTAACCACTCTAAGATTGTTTGGTAATGTCACTTAGTGTAATTAATTGTAACATATTCTTTTAAATAAATTGATTTATTGATGAAACAATTCTTTGGTTTCCTAGACTACAAATCCTTTGGGTTATGTGGGAAGAACTAAAGAGGGGCCTTTGAGAGTTCAGTTGGAATGGCTCGTCTGAAAATGACAGGCAGCGTCTAGCTGGGTTTTCCAGGTAACCAGTGAGGCAGGGAATGGAGGCAGGAAGGAGCAGTTCTTTCCCCAGTGGCTCCCTCAGCAATCTCATCTGCTTCCTCGGCTCTCCTTGTTGAGCTCTCCTGTACAGACTCTTGTGACTGTTCAGACTCCTTCACCAACCAAGCACAAATAAAGCCAGACAGAACCTCTGGGACATGTGTTATGTCCCCAACCCCCACCCCCAGCACGTGTATATCTATCTCATTTACAAGTAAATAAGGAGACTTCTTATATGACCCCTAGCGAATGCCTAGGCAGCACTAGGTCTGGGGTGGCATTTAGTCTGTGATCATGTGTCTGAGAATAAGGGTGGTCCTGCTGTCCTTGCTCTTACACAGAGAGCCCAGGTACCAGGTCACATCCTATTCAGAAGAGAACTGTTCCCCAAAAGCTCAGTATTTGTAGTGGGTCAGACATTTCTGTTGTTCTGTGATTCTTCATTTCTTGGTATTTTCATAATCCTTACCACATGCTTCTGTTCCCTAGGGGACCCTAAGAGCAAGGGCCACCAAGCTTGATATTTGGATTTGGGAAGAGATGATATTCACAAGCTCAGTCACCCAGTCACCAAACCCAGTGTTTGGAATCTGAGAAATACTATGCCCCTAACCACTAGACATTAAAAAATATTTTTTCTCTTCAATAATGAAACATCATAGAAAGGTAGAATTATACAATTAGAACTACAGAGGTTAAATTCAACACCATTAAGAAATACCATGTGTATGGGACATTGTGTTAGAAACTGTGGTGGATACAGGCATACTCACAGTCATATGGAGGAGACAGGACAGCCCCGTGATGCACAGTGGAAGATTTCAGTGCTATGAGGACAGGAAAAGGCCCAGACATGGTGGTGCATGCCTGTAACCTCAGGACTCGGGAGACAGGAGGATTAGGAGTGCAAGACCAGCCTCACCTACATAGCAAGTTCATAGCTAGCCTGGGCCACATAAGAGCCTGTCTCAAAATCGAGGAAAGGCCAAGATGGTTCAGTAAAGATGCTTGCTGCCAAGCCTGACAACCTGAGTTAGATCCCTGTGTCCCACATAGAGGAAAGAGAAAACTGATTTCCACAAGTTGTCCTCTGCATACATGTGAGCTATATATCATATACACATACAGATATTAAGACATAGATGAAGGCATAAAGGAAATCTTAAAAGTGATATTTAATGTGAATTATTTAACATGAGTAGGGTTTCATCAAGCAGGTCTCAAACAGTATTGGCCTGATATGTACAAGACACTGCAGCAGCGGAGAATGAAGAGACCTGGGTAAGAAAGACCAGACTGTCCAAAGCACAGTGAGAATATTGTTTCAACGGAATATAGGGTATGTATAAGAATGAAGTAGGAGGTAAGGGTTCCCCAACCCCTATTTTTACGTGTGTGTGTTTGTGTGTGTGTGTGTGTACACATGTTCACGTGCACAAGTCACAGTGCACACGTGGGAGATCAGAGGACAACTGATTCTTCTTCAACCAAATGGGTGACAGGATCAATTAGGAGACTGGTATAATTATTTGATTAAGAAGCAGACACAAAACCGTGCGCACACCTTTAATCCCAGCTTTTGGGGGACAGAGGCAGGTGGATCTCTGTGAGTTCGCAGCCAGCCTGGTCTGCAGAGCTAGTTCCAGGACAGCCAGAGCTGTTACGCAGAGAAACTCTATCTTGAACTCCCTCTTCCCCCCCCAAAAAAGAAGCAGACACAGTGATAGATGAAAGGAAAAACTGTAGAAATCTTTCATGAATTCACATGAGGCGAGTAAAAGGCTCCCAAGCTCTGTGTGAGCAGAGAAGCAAGAGTTGAGCCAGGCCAGGCAGGTAACACCTGCAATGGCAGCACTTAGGAAGTAAAGAAAGGGGGATCAGAAATTCAAGAGCATCTTTGGCTACATAGCAAGTTCGAGACTGGTCTGGACTACATGAGATCCTATCTGAGAAAATAAAGTGGCCTAGAGAGATGCCTCATCAGTTAAAAGCACTGACTGCTCTTCCAGAGTTCCCAGCACCCACATGGCAGCTCACAACTATCTTAACTCCAGTTCCAGGGGATCCAGTCTCCTCTTTGGTTTCTTTGGGTATCAGGCAAACATGTAGTGTACATAAGAATCTTAAAGCCAGGCATGGTGGCACATGCCTCTAATCCTAGCATGAAGGGAAGCAGGTCGGTTCCCTGAGTTTGAGGCCATTCTGGTCTACAGAAAGTTCTAGGCCAGCCAGGGCTACACAAACTCCGTCTTGAAAAACCAAAATTCAATCAGTCTTTTAAAAGAACAACAGAAAGCCCTGAGACTTTGAAGGGAAAGTGTTTTAGAGTTAGACTATTAGATTTAGGCACAGGTGGAAATCCAGTATCGATGTCTGAGAGTCATTTGGTTAGGAATGTTGTTTATGTGTATGTGTGTGCACTTGTGTGGGCTGGGATTGCTCCGTACTGGAGTTAGAAGCAGTTGTGAGTTGTTCTGTGGGTGCTGGGACCCAGAGCCGGGTCCTCTGCAAGAACAGTAAGCACTGTTAACCACCAAGCCACCTCTGTCCAGCCCCAGCAGTCATTTCTTTGTTGTTTACTAATCAGTTTTGGTGTTCAGGGCACCTGTTTAGGGCTGTAGCAGTGAACAAGCCCTATGAAAGTCACTCAGCAAACGCTAGTGAACTAAAGAGTTGACTCTGCCCATGGTAAACAGGGTGTCTGGAGATGAGCAGGTGGGACAGTGGAGGCAGAGACTGCGGCTTCATCAGTGGGACAGTGGGTGGGGACAGGATCGACAGTAGTGGAGCCTTCTAGACCTGAGAAACCCAGTTGGAGCTTTATTGTTGGACTGATGTGGAAGAAGCTAAGTGGTAAATAGTCTCAGCGCTTAGGAGGTTAAGGAGGGGAGATTGTGAGTCTGAGGCTACCCTGTCTCAAGCACCCCTCCAAAAAAACGGGAAAAAGAAGTGGAAAGGTTATAATCCAGACTTGGACATGAGTGAGTGTATATGATAATGTCTACTAATAGGGAAAATAAGAGAAACAGTAATGGTGAAGTGAGTTCAGGAGAAAGAGGGATGCGTGGAAGCAGCTCTGCATTGTGCAGCTGAGAGGATCTAGCTCTTTGGATGGAAATCTTTCTTTTGGCAAGAGAGTTGACTCTTAAATAGACAGCAAACCCCGTGTGGTAGTACACACCTGTGATCCCAGATCTTGAGAAGTGGAGCCAAGAGGAGCAGGAGTCCAAGTTCATCCTTGACTACGCAATGATTTGGAGACCATTCTCAGTTACATGTGACTCAGTGGGCCACCAAGATGATTCAGTGGTTAAGTTGCTTGCTGTCAAGCCTGATGACATAATTCAGCCCTCAGGACCCGCATGGTGAAAAAAGACAATCAGCTTCTCCCACAAGTTGTCCTCTGCCTACCACGGGCCTTGGCACATGCTCACCCATATCCATGTGTGTGTGCACACTGAATAATAAACGCTTAAAAATAGAGACTGAGCCCAGCGGTGGGGGCGCACGCCATTAGTCCCAGCACTCAGGAAGCAGAGGCAGGCGGGTCTCTGAGTTTGAGGCCAGCCTGGTCTGCAGAGTGAGTTCCAGAACAGCCAGGGCTACACAGAGAAAAAACCCTGTCATGAAAAGCCTAAATAAATAAACAATGTGTAAAGACAGAAGCTGAAAAGTGAAAAAAACGAAGTTTTCTAAGAACCAGGACACTATGTCAAACCTTAACTTCTCATACTTAGAGAAGAATGAAGCTTGGCCATGAAGGGAATTGTTGGGTCAAAAATACTTGAAACCCAAGAAGTGAAAGGCCATAGCCTTTAAGTCAGCAAGGACCAGCATCGAGTGTGGCAGCTCACATGCATGTGCGTACTTCCCAGCTTTAAAGTCATAGGGAAGAGAAGGATCTGAACTCATCCAGGGTTTTGCCCCTGCTGTGTCCTTTTCAGCCTTAGTCTCCCTATCAGGATATTTCCTTAGTGTTGGGGTTTGGGTTCTACAGTTTAAAGGACCTGTATCTCATCTGCTAACGGGTCACCTCCACTCTTTCTCAGCAGGTTCTAGACGCACACACAGAGCAGTCCCCGAGGTGCTGCCCCATCTGCAGCAGGATGATACCAGGAGGGGGGAGACAGTCACTCTGGGAGAGTCTCGAGGTCTGAAACTCACCTTTTGTCTGGGTTCTGACCTACAAACTGTCCTAAGGCTGAGATAGCTCTGAGACTGCAGAGCCCTGCTTGGATCCTCACTCTGAGGCCGTGCAGTGGTTAATCTTCATTGTCAGCCTGACAGGGTTTAAAACCAACCTAGGAGAGCATGTCCTGAGAGGCTGAAGTGAGAAAGGGGACTCTGAATGTGGGTGCTACCACCTCATGGGGCCACAGCAATAAGCAAGCCTTGGTCTGCCTTCCCCATCCAAATGGCCTGTTCTCAGCCATGCCCATGTAAGCCTCTCCCTTGAGTTACTGGCTGTCAGCTGTTTGGTCACAAGAACCCTAAGGGTTACAGACTCTACCCCATTCTTGATCTCTGTCACCCTTAGACTTGTGTGTGGTGTGTGGGTGTGGTGTGTGTGTGGGTGTGGTGTGGGTGTGGGTGTGTTTGTGTGTGTCCTAGGCTGGCCTCGAAACTCTGCCTCAATCCCCGAAGTGCTGGAATTACAGCTGTGTGCTGCCGTGCTTGCCCTGTCTTAAACTATTAGGCACTGCTAAGAGGAGATAGGTGAGGAGGGGTAGGGGTTAGCTGTGAGGATGTATACATGGCTGTGGTTTCTCTTTGCCCTTATACTCACCCCACCCCCATGCTTCATTTCCTACTCCTTGCTTTCTCCTTTTCTCTGTGTTGGTATAGAGATGGCCTAG